AGAGTAGAACTACTGACTGTTGCCATCTTTGATTAGATAGATATTAGGAAGTGGGAAAATGTCTTTTGGGGAACATTTTGGAAATGTTTTTAAAATTGAGACAGCATATATCTTTCATTTGCCAGTAATGTTATACATAATACTTCCCAAGGAAATAATTTAGCAAGTACACAAGGATTATTTGTTTGAGGATATTCAATATAACTTTTTTATGATAATAAAAAACTAGTCAAAAAGTAAGCACTCAGTGATAAAGGATTATTTAAATTATCCACTTAAGCTGGGGAATATTGTGCAGCTGGTAAGAAGATTTTTGTCTATCTATCTTGGAAGTATTTCTCTTTGACATCTTCTTGGGCTTTAAAAATAGGGTATACATATCAAGAAAATCATTCATTATGACCAAGTGGGGTTCATATCAGGTATGCAGGAATGGTTCAACATTAGAAAAACAATTAACGTCATCCACCACATAAATAAAACAAAGGAGAAGAACCACATGATCATATCAATTGGTGCAGAAAAGGCATTTGATAAAATACAACACCCATTCCTGATTAAAACTCTCAGCAAAACAGGAATAGAAGGGACATTCCTCAACATAATAAAGGGCATCTATGCAAAACCAACAGCCAACATTACACTCAATATAGAGAGACTGAAACTGCTTCTCTTCAGAACAGGAACCAGACAAGGATGCCTGCTATCACCACTTCTATTCAACATTGTACTGGAAGTCTTAGCCAGGGCCATAAAGCAAGAAAGGGAAATCAAAGGTATCCAAATTGGTAAGGAAGAAGTCAAACTATCCCTATTTGCTGCTGATATGATCCTATACCTAGGAAACCCAAGAGACTCAGTCAAAAATCTATTGGAACTAATTGGCAGGATATAAGATCAACATCCAAAAATCAGTTGGATTTCTCTATACCAGCAAAGAGATTGCTGAAAAAGAAATACGGAAATCAATACCATTTACAATAGCTACCAAAAAAATAAAATATTTGGGAATAAATTTTACCAGGGACAAAAAAGACCTCTACAAAGAAAACCATAAAAAACTACTTCAGGAAACCATAAGAGAGCTACATAAATGGAAGAACATCCCATGTGTGTGGATAGGAAGATTGAACATTGTGAAAATACCAGTTCTGCCCAAAGAAATCTATACATTCAGTGCAATCCCAATCCAGATCTCATCAATATTCTTTAGGGATATGGAAAAACCAACCACTAACTTTATATGGAAAGGAAAGGGACCTTGGATAAGTAAAGCACTATTGAAGAAGAAGAACAAAGTAGGAGGTCCCACACTGCCGGACATCAAAACCTAATATTCAGCCACAGTAGTCAAAACTGCCTGGTATTGGTTTAATGACAGATAGATAGACCGGTGGAATAGAATTGAGAAACCAGAATTAGATCCATCGACCTATGGTCAACTGATCTTTGACAAAGGGCTGAAATCCATTAAATAGGGAAGAGAATGTTTGTTTAATAAATGGTACTGGCAAAACTGGAGATCCATTTGCAGAGAAATGAAACAAGATCTGTACCTCACACCATACACAAAAACGAACTCCAGATGGATCAAAGACTTAA